ATATAGGTATTTTATAGGTAATTATGTGATAAATTGTGTTATTTTTATGTGACAGATTTGTCCACAACGAYGCTACWCATTTGAGTCTGGAGTTGAAAGAAATCGCAAAGTAAGCCGACAMGATCAATAGCTAWTTTKATGATGTCGTTAAAGTTGAAGTTGTCAATTAGTTGCTTTAGTTAATTACATTTTATCACTCATTATTACGCTTTTTCTTTTTGGTATATAACACATTATTTCATTATTTTACTAATGCACTTTGCTAAAACTACATGCATTTTCCTTCAGAAAAAGTCAAGGKCTCAGYGGACGAACTCTCCGGAAGATACCATTCCTTGCCCATGCGCTGTTTTCTCAGGTAAAATGCCTTTCAACATAGTTTGAACTATGCCACAAAACACTTGGAAAGCCTAAGGATGTTGCTTTTGCTTGTTTTCCTTCAAATCCGCTGAATAACTAGCCTCCGTAGCAGACGTTCTTAGCGGGAGAGAATCAAACCGCTAAGAACGTCCGCTACGGAGGCTAATGAATAACGTATTGTTTACGAAAGATTTTTAGGGGAAAGAAGTAACTCTTTCTAAATTGAGAAAGATACAGAAAAAAATAAGTCTACGTTTTCTAAAGCAAAAGGCTTTCTCTCTGTTCTACCTCTTTTGGTATTCCTTACTAATTCGCATGCTTTTTCAGTTTCAAAATGCCTACCTGTTTCAAAGACCAATTGTTCCAATTTTCATTTTTCAGACATCAAGCCTAACTCTTGAGCAATTCCTAAGTGCTTTGGACAGAACTGTACAACGACAGTTTTTAGAAAGAGAGAGTCTGAAGAACGATTGATACAGTATAGCGCTATTGACAATAAATTGAAATTGTATTGTCACTGCTTGTAAAAAGAATATTATAACAAAAATGTACAATTGTGTTTACTATAATAAATACAAAAGTTAAAATATTCACTTGTCATGGAATTACAAAAGGCTGTAGCTATGCAGATTTTAGTTTTCTATAGTATTGTTYTTAAATGGTCTGTCATCGAAACTAAACAACTACTTTCGTCGCTAAACAGAGCCATACCCGAAGTATTATATCGAATTCACTTGATTTCTGTAAACTAAACCAAAGTAGATTTGATAAAGATGAGAATTTCTTAGTTAAGACAAAACACTTTTCAGTTTTTTTGACTTTTGAAAAAAATAATCGAAATCAGTTGAGTGCAGGACTCATTTAAACAAATTTAGCGAGCTCCCACGATTCCATTCGCACTCGGACCGCCAATTGTAGTTGATGATCAAACATAMGACAGATGAACAAACGCCCAAAACAATAGGCAGAATATATTATCATGGTGTTAATATATCAAATAAATAGAGGATATTACATGGGCGCGCGGAGATACGGATTTTATCTTCGAGTGTTGAAAAGATCTCTCATGAGTGAGCGTAGCGAGCTCGTGAGAGATTTTCAACATGAGAAGATAAAATTCGYATCTCCAAGCGACCATGTAATATTCTGTTTATCATATAATTACATATGAAAGCAAATTGTGTCGGAAAAAAACACCTTTCTTTTCTTACTTCCACTAGTAGAGTAACATCGAATGTGTTATTTTCACTAGTGAAAATATCAACTTTACGAAATGGAGAAATATAGGTATTTCATAGATAATTTTATGATAAAAATCATTATCATATTATATATTTATCTATTAAGAGACTTATCGTTTTTTTAGTTTTTACGTTGTTGCATAATTTCCAGTGGTACATTTTATCTCGTTATCAGAAAATGTGCGCATTTTTGTTATGTTTTTTTTTTCTTTCAGCAATGTAGTTATCAGTTTAATCATTCCCATTTTAATATATTAAAGCTGTTCTACATTTTTCTCACCAAACCAAGATAAGCTAGCTCTTCCTAAGGATAAATTTATCGCTCAAGGATTGAACAAGATAACACTAATAGTGTCGCCATATTGAAATTTGATTTGCCGCCATGTTGAATTGATCAAATAAAAAGACAAATTATGCGTCTTTTTTACTTTTGATATTTGTTGTCTCAGACTTTACATTAAATCGAATTTAATTTATATTTCAACAGGAGTCATACTACTTGCTAATGAATCATATTTTAACTACTTTTCAATATTCCCTGAACGCGCGCAATTGTTTGGTCCTGTGTGGCCCCTCAAAATATTTTCAGTCATGTTCTTGTCGCGTTGTAATTACATCCCCGAAAGCTCAGCGTTGAGAATAAGAAAGTAATAAAATACAAGAGGAAAAACAGTCCAAACATTGTCTTGTTTTTTCCTGTGCAACTGCGGGGAATAGTGTACAAAAACTGCTTCCGCAAAAACAATACTCGAATTGAACTGAGTTCTTTACTCTTAACTCAACGTGTTTCCATGAATTTTATTTTTATTTTTTTAATCTTTAAGGAGATATATCTTTTCATAAAAAATCATGGKCGTAAAAGTACTGAATACGTTTACCAGTTATGAATGGCATATATTGTATAAATCTAATTTCTATCTCTGAAATATTTATGATATTTGCCGAAAACGAAGAATATAATTTGAGCGAAATTGCAAACTGATCCCGTCACTGCCAGTTTATACGAAAATTTAAAGGATCTTGAATTTTAGGCTGAATCCAGGAAATTGAAAAAAACCTGGGAGCTCAGTTATAACTCATTTTGAATGAAGGCGAAATGCTTTTAATTGCTTTAGTTTTACGACATTTTGAATTTGAGATATTGATATTTGAGAAAATGAAGTCCTCAGTATTTGTGCATCTTGAAAGCGCAAAAAATGACGTCTGGCCGACRGGATTATGAACAATGCGACCAGAGGAAGTGCCACCAAAACGCAAAAAAAACGCCGTCTCCTTTGAAAAGAGCTGACCATAATAATAAATAATTTATCAACTGAAGCGAAAAATTCTCTTTAATGTACATGCCTTACGAAAGAAAACTATAAACGCGCATTAGCAAAAAAACATTTTATTTTGTTTGCTTTTCAATGTGACTTCGACTTCCTTGTGTGTCACTGACTCTACCATTCGGAATTCATTATGCTGAGAGTTCTGCGTCCCAAACCTTATCGAAACACTTAATGTCGATATTAAAATCAGCAGACTAACAGAAAAACACCAACTACTTTTTTATGATAGCACTATACAACTTAAAGATCATATATCTCACCTAAACTAACGATTCGGCAAAATAAATAGGTCACCATTTCGCGTACAAAGCGCTTGTGTCGCGTAGAATTTATTTCGGTCAGCACTCGATCTCTTGGTCAACCAAGTGTCCATCAATAAAGTAAGCTGTCGATATGAATAAACCTTTAAACTTTTCTGGACTGCATCAACTATGCTCAAGTAGTTTTTTTCCACGTCGGTSTTGCGACGATATCATAACATCATCCATGATACACCTGCAYATATCAGGCGAAGTAAATGCTTGAAACAATAGACGATTAGTCACAAAGGGACTTTCATGTCCCTGAGCCCTTCTCTGGCCCACTCTTTGAATTTTCCAGTTCCTTATCCGTAATCTTTAAGTTTTGAAGCATTTCTTGGAGTTTCTCGGTCGGTGGTAGCTCGGCGTTTGTACACGCTCCTCGCCTTCCCCGTCGCTCGCACTTACGAAAAGCCTCATCTGTTCTTTGCTCTGTCGCTGATTCGTCCATTCTCATCACTGAAAATTCAAAATGCCTTGTTCAATTATAACCTTTGAGGAAACGATTTTCCTGGAATGAAAGCTGATTAATTGCTTTGAAACTTTAACGATATTGCCTCCACAGCGCCGTTACTCTTTGATATTGTCCGCAACAAAATCACACTAGAATTTCAAACCAGAAACAATCCAAGCCAAAATATACTCTTGAGTTATGCTTGAAGATTCACTGCCAAAGGGTTTCATGTTTYGGTAAAATATCTTTTACAAACGCGAGCGAGTAATGACTCCAGTCATGTGAATGTGAATGTGAATATTATTAATGAGACTTTGACAATGCGTCCCCCAATGTAAGCAACACTTAAAATTCATTCAATTTTTTTTTGACCACAGATAACTATCAASCTTATGCACCATTGGTTAACCTCGGTGTTCGAGACAATGTTTCTGAAAAAAGAAAACAGTTTAAAATGATATAATTTTTTCAATAAATTAAGAAAGAAAGAAGACACAGATGTCACGCACAAATGTCAACCATCTTCAATAATATTTATCAAAAAAGTTTGTTTGTCTTTTTCGTCAAAAAAGGAAAAAAACGTTTTTTGCATTTTGTCAGTGATATTACAAAGTAGCGTTGAGAAAGCACAATTCTGCATTAGAAAAAAAACATGTGCTCGGCTTGCCCATGCTTAGCTATGAAAGCGAACGATAGCCCTGGGAAGTCTTCTGAAAAAAAATTAATAGTTTTAACCCTACAATTCTACAGCAAAAATTAACATTTAGCAGAGGTATAAACTAAAACAACCCAAGTACTATTAATAATTCCGATTGATTGACAGGTTGTCAATCACGTCAACAGCGMCATATTGCAATCTAAACAAGTACTTCCTAAGAAAATGGTTTTTATTCAGACTTTCTAGAGTGAAATTTCGAACTAGACTTTCCAGAACATCTCTACCAATTACACCTGTTTTCAAAAACGTTYTGAACATATTAATTTGTCTTTATACAGCGAACCATTAACGTTGCTCTCATGTTCAGCCTTACAAACAACAAAATCATGGCATAGTTCCTCCGTTGATTACGAATGTCTTTAACGCACTCCAGAAGCATTTAGCCATCCAAAAACTAATTTTGTTTATAAAAAAACAACCTCTTCAGGTTGACTAAATTTACCATTTCATTTTTCAAGGACAACGTTTTTGAAAACAGCTGTAACCTTACCAAGATCTCGAAAAGATGGGACTAAGATCGAATAGAATTCTGGGGGCTCGGTTAATAGTCAAGAAATTGACGCGTTTAGACTTTTCACGCTTCACGCGTGTGCTTCAATTTTTTCATTTCTATTTGTAATTTGGTGTATGATACTTCATTACACTTAAATATTACACTTTGTCTATACAACTAAAACTTTTCAAAAAGATAATTACCAATTTGTCATATTTAGGGTTCTGTTTTTTTCAGTTTATTCGTTTCAAGTTGTTCAGCGACTTTATCTTCAATTGGTCCAACGATGGTTCTTCGACGCTTTCGAACTATCTTAATGRCAYCCTGGCGTAACGTAGACGATCGCACAATRAATACATAGGGATTCAGAAGAGAGCTCATTTGGGCCAAGAAGAACAAAATAAGCCCTCGTAAGCTGTCGTCGAACGGAATTGTTACATCAAAAAATCGAAAGATGCACTCAARCAGGATTGGACAGAAGGACACTATGTATATTMCCATCACTATCAAAGCCGTCTTGCTTGAAGCTGYGATCGTTCTTCYTCTAGCTCTAGATTTCAATGTGTTTTCTGTGTTGTTCTKGAGMAGMTTTTGAAGTTGTCCATAAAGTTTTTTAGTGAGAACACAGAGAGACAACAAAACCGCACACACGCTAAAAAACACCTTGAACTTGCCTTCCGATTGTAGATCCCGYACCATGTACTCAACGGGGCTGTCTCCATCTCTTGGAGGATTGACTGTGATCTTAACGGCATTAGYAATACCGGTCAAAAGGAATGTGAACAGCCACATCAAGACACTGGCAACGCGCGCTTTCTTCACTGTCATCTTGTCGTTGTATTTGATTGGATATTTGACGATCCAAAATCTATCGATAGCAACCAGCAAAGTAGAATGTAGAGTAAGAGTCGTAAGGAATTCTACTGTGAACAACACCCCTGAAGTTGCTACAGCCCCATTTAAGTTTCCCGTTTTGAAAACATAGTAATCCATAGAAATAGGAATGTTTATCATGGCGGAAGTAAGATCGACTGTGGCGCAGTTAAAAATCAAGTTCATGGACCCTCTACG